GCTTAGAGAAAAAAGTAGGTTACTCAACAAGGTTAAAAAGAATTAACTTATTTTCAAAGAAAAAGTAGTGAAATTTCTGAAATTCTTTCTGAATCACTTTTGTATATTCCCTGCTTTGATGAAATTATTTTGAAAGACAAATTTTTGTCATAATCTGGAAGTGGAGTTTGGGTGTAAGTAAGCTAAGCATCTTACCAAATCTGTAGAGTGCATCTAAGAGATGAATAGTGGAAAATATGCATGTCAAATTGAGTTTTTGAGTAGTGGATAGGTCACATATGGTTCTAGAGAGATTGCCCGGATGAATGGGCTTGTTAGCAGGACATGGCAAAGTGCTTTTCCACAGTACTTCCAGGCTTTTGAGATGCATCTTGTAAAAAGTAAGAAGATTGACCTGTAAAAAATCATTCTGAAAACAATGGAGAAAAATATGCCCAGTGAGTATGTTGGCAGCCAACCCAGTGACTTCACTGGCCATTTTGGCTTAGCTGGCACCATTAGGTCACTTTATCTTATGAAAAACATTCCATTTCTGGATACTAAGAGTTTCAAGAGTATTTTTGTTTAGAAATTATTTTTCTCCTTAGTTGATAATGAGGTAAACTGCCAAGATCTTGGTTGCTATTCACTCTTCACTTGATCTTAGCCAAAAAGTAGAGAAGCAATTGCTTTTCACTCTTGAATAGTAATCCCATTATTGTTTAAAGGTTTTTTTCAGGTTTTACAAATAACAGTTTGTTTTTAAAAAGATTTATTCCCATAAACCTCTCTTAGACTCACAGCTTTATTCAAAGATAAGTTTACATCTTTGGGTATACAATTAGCCAATTGATACTTGTTCCTAATTTTTTTCTCATTTGTAGACATGGGTTAGCTTGGATATTTCTAGTTTTTTCATTTATATGAGAATGGTAGAATAACAAATGAACCGACCTTTACTGTGTCTGGATCAGATGAAGTAGCTGTTTCTGGATGCTTCATCTGCACTGTTTCCAGGCAGAGTCTCTGCCTAGTACTTTGTTGTTTATTTCTTTTACATGTAATGTAAATCTGCTCCCCTTCACCTTTGGAATAGACTTTTGGGATTTCTAACCTTCTCTCTCTCCCCCCTCCCTCTTTCTCCTCCCTAGATAAGATGATGACTCAGTTTCAGTTCTTTTAGATCCTTATAACATTTCTAATTAAATAGTAGAGAAATGATTATGGGAGGGACACAATGATTATTGACATAGGAGAGCTAATGAGATGACATGACATAAAGTATCATTATTGCAGTATTTTTATTCCATTTATCTAGGACTCTTTTCTTGAAGGTGCTATACAAATAACATTGAGATAATAAGCCATTTAACAAAGTCAAAACATAAAGAAGAAAGTAGCTATGAGAAATAAATACACAGAAAAGAGGCAGTGGAGCCTTTAGATCACTGATGGGCACGGCATTTAGTACCTCTGGCTACATACATTGCACTCGCTATTGGTGCTGCCAGTGGTTGGGGGTTTGGCATGAAGGCCTCTTGCTTAGGTTAGTTTTGTGCTCACAATGCTATGGCCTCTGGTTGTGATTGAAGACCATGGGCTGTGTTGTCAAATGTAGCGGTCCCCAACCTGTTTTGGCACCAGGGACCGCTTTCATGGAAGACAGTTTTTCCATGGACCAGGGGTAGGGGTTGGAGGATGATTTGGGGCTGATTCAAGCACATTACCCTTATTGTGCAGTCAAACCTCTCTACTAATGATAATCTGTATTTGCAGCTGCTCCCTAACACTAGCATCGTTGGCTCAGCTCCACTTCAGATCATCAGGCATTAGATTCTCAGAAGGAATGCACAACCTAGATCCCTCAAATGCTCAGTTTACAGTAGGATTGGTGCTCCTATGAGAATCTGATGCTACTGCTGATCTGGCAGGAGGCGGAACTGTTGTGGTAATGCGAATGATGGGGAGCAGTGTAAATACAGATGAAGCTTTGTTTGCTCACCTACCGCTCAACTCCTGCTGTGCAGCCCAGTTCCTAACAGGCCACAGTACCAGTCCTCAGCCTGGGGATTGGGAACTGCAGGTCAAATGGACCTGTCCCTGTTACTTACTAGCTGTTAATTTAGAAATTACCTAAACTTTCTGAATCTCGGTTTCTTTATCAATAAAATGATGCTATTTATATTAATACCTTCTTTTTTAGGGTTTTCCTGAGGTTGAATGTAAGTGAGTTATACACATAAAACATTTAGTTCAGTGCCTGGTACATAGTATATGGCATCATAAATGCTAGATATTCTTATTCTCAGAATATGTCAAAATGTAGTGATTCTGATAAGGTTATGGAACATCATAGCAACAGCTTCTCTGTGGTTCAAAAGATAAGACTGTGGAATTGTAAGGATCTTTTACTTCTCTGAACTGATACAGTAAAGAATAATCTGTATTTCACAAAGGAGCATTAGATTTTCTTAAGGAAACATAAGAAAATATAGATAATAATCACACTCACATGCCTACCACCAGCTTAAGAAATAAAAAATGGCAGAATAGGAGACGCCTGTTCTTCTCTTTAATCCTTGGCCCCCAAGAGATAACCACTGTCTTGAATTTGGTCTGTTATTTACTCCAATGTTTTTATCTTATAATTATTGTCATTTTGTATCCATAAACAATATATGGCATTTTTATATATTTAAATTTTATATGAATATTATTATACTGTATATATCCTTATATAGGTTGCTTGCTTTTCTCTCACACATTTTTTTTGAGATTTTTTCTGTTATACTTGTAGCCTTATTCATTCAACTGCCATAGAACAGTTAAATAAATAAGGCTACAATTGTAATTCATTCATTCTGTTGTATGAATGAATATGCCTTTTAAAATCTATTTTCTGTTAATGGACATGACCTATTTCTTTGAATATTTTTGTGTCTCTCACCATCACACTACCTTCCCTTAACCTAAGAGGTAATCACTATCCTGAATTATGTTAATATTTGGGGGTTTCAAAAAATGGCTTAAGAATGTATATCCCTAAAAAATATATTTAAGTTTTGCCTGTTTTTAAGGTTTATGTAAATACAGTACAATCTCGTATGTTATGTGGTGGCTTACTATTTTTTTCAACATTTTGATTATGAGATTCATTTATGTCGTTATATATGGCAATAGTTATTTGTTTTCATTGTGTACAATATAGTGTTATTTATAGACCTTTAGGTAGTTTCTGACTTTCTACTATTGCAAACAATATATAATTAACATCCTTGTACATGTCTTCTTGAATATGTGTGTTGAGTTTCTCTCAGGCATATACCTAGGAATGAAATGACTGGGGTGTTGGTAATGTATGTGTCTTTATCTTTACTGAATATTGGTGTATGGTAATTTTACTATCATTTAATTATAAAGTATTTTCTATTTTATAATTTGATTTGGCCCATGAGTTTAAAGTATATTTTTAAAATTCATAAATATATAGAGGTTTTAAATCAGTTTTTAACTTAATTACTCTGTGTTCAAATAATATTGTCTGTATCTTACTAATTCTTTGGCATTTGTTGAGACTTTTGCTTTATATCCTAATACGTGGTCAAGGTTTAGCCAGGTCTTAGTCACGTTTTATAAATATTCTACATGTTTGAAAATAATTTATTCTCTAATTATTGGATACTCGAATCTATTTATGTTTATTAATCTTCTCTAACTTTACTAATAATTTTGAGACAGGAATATTAAAATCTTCACTTATAGAAAATTTTTCAGTTTCTTGTATATAACCATTTTCATTTTACATACAGTTGGCGTTTGAACTACATGGGTTTAAACTTTGAAAGTCCACTTATATACCATTTTTTTCTACCAGACACATAAAAAATACTTGCAAGGTGTGAAACCTGCATATACAGAAGACCAGCTTTTCATATTTGCTGGTTCCACAGGGCTGACAGCAGGTTTGGGTATATGTGGGAGTCCTGGAACCAATCCCCTGCGTACACGGAGGGAGCAAATGTATTTTGAGGCTTTAGTGAATTGTTAGTTTTGCCATTGTATAATGATCCTATTTACCTCTAATAGTGGTTTTTGCCTTAAAGTTTACATATTCTGACAGTACTCTCACTATACTGGCTTTCTTTTCATTTGTATTTAGTTGCCTGGTATTAAAAAAATGTATGTGTGTGTGTGGATGTGTGTGTATAGTTATCCTTTGGTATACATGGGGGAGTGGTTCCAGGACCCTTCCCTTTACCAGAATCCCAGCATACTCAGGTCCTGCAGTCTACCCTGTGGAACCCACTTATATGCGAAGTCAGCCCTCAGTAGAGGCAGGTTTCACATCCTGCAAATCCTGTATATGCATTTGGCTGAAAAAAATCTGTATATAAATGGACCCACACAGTTCAAACCCATGTTGTTCAAGAGTCATTTTTACTTAAACACTTTCTTTATCCTCGTGTTTATGTTTTTAGTATGTCTCCTGCACACTGAATACATATTAATAATAATTGGACTTTATTTAATCTAAATTTTCTTTCTTTTAGCTAAGTTGAGTTTGTTTACATCTAGTACCATTACTGATATATTTATACGTATTTCTACCATCTTACATGTTTTCTATTTGCGATATTGTTTTCCGTGCTGCCCTTTTCCTTTTGACCTTTCCTTCTGAAAAGTTTGATCAACTTTTCTTTATTCCTTTTTTCCTTAGTGATTACCCTTAAAAATGTTAACATTGCTTTTGGCTTTGCAAAATCAAACATAAAAATCAGTGTGTCTGATTAGTATAATCATTCTCTTCTGAATAGTATAAGAACTTTGGGAAACTTCATCTCCAGGTAGCTCCACCAATCTTATATGTTTTTGACCAGTATTTTTTTCCATTGTTTTTTAAGCACCTAAATTAGTCTTTATTATTGCTGTTGTTGTCTTTAGTTTTTGCATTAACTTCTACTGTTTTCTATTACTCAAAAGTCTGAACTCCTTGATTAAATTGGTTTTCTCACTCTTTCCAGATTTTCAAAAGAAACAACCAGACGATGATTCCGCTCCAAGTACAAGTAACAGCCAATCAGATTTGTTTTCCGAAGAGACCACCAGTGACAACAACAATACCTCGATAACCACGCCAACTCTTAGTCCCAGCCAGCAGCCGCTTCCGACAGAACTGAATGTAACTTCACCAAGTAAAGAGGAATGTAAGTGTCCAGATTCTGAGAGGTGGTAGGGAGAACAGCCTAAGAACCATATATATTATGAGCTTCTTGGTAATGCCTTATCCCAGAAAAAAGACAGCGGTTCTTTTAATTCAAGATAAGTGTTCAGATATAGGGCCTAAGCTCAGCAAGTTATAGAATGAGTTTCAGCCATTCCATAAAGTTTAAGGTTTTCTTAAGAGATAGCTTTTTATATTAACTGTCAACGTGCATGAAGTTTTGAACCAATCTAGAGCAGTGGCTTTCAGCTCTAACTGCACATTAGAATCCACTGGGGATTTTTAAAACAATTTTAATATTCACCATGCTCTGATTCTAATTTAATTGGTCTGGTGGGAGGCCCAAGGATATGTTCTTTTTAACTCTGCAGAGGATTATAATGTGTAGCAAGGATTCAGAACCCCTGGTCCAGGAAACTTAACCCTGATTTAGGAGCCTTGGATTGAAACCGTATCTGTGGCATTATATGGGCCTTGACTCTTTCTAAGAATTTATCTGAGATAATACTATACTTCGTAGAACATAGTGTATTTAAAGGGAGAGGGAAATGATTTTTGTTACTCCTCTGTATGTCCTCAGTGATAAAATACTGTTATGTATGTGATATGCAAGTTTATTGTCCACTTAATTTTTATAATGCTATAATTGTCTCTTTTGAGACAGTTGTATCTGATGGTGTTTGTTGAAAATTATAGGGATATTATGACATAGAAGGTTTTGCCTTCTAAGAGCTTTATTTAAGGTTGAAATTTAGTGTTTTAAGTTTAATGAATATCTAGAAATATGGTAGAGTAGGATGTTCTGTCTACTGACTTTGGAAAGATTATCAGATAACAAATATTTATCTAAATCTATCATAAACTATTATATTTGGTAATATTTGAGAATATAAAATAAGGAAAGTCATAATCCCTGTCCTTAAATAATTTACTATTTAGCAGGGGAAATTGAATACATTTATTATAGTATATCAGTTGTTCTCAACCAGGAGTGATTCCCTCCCCCCACTCCACAATTTGATAATGTCTGGAGGTCAGTGATGCTGCTAAACATCCTACATTGGATAGGACAGCTCTCCACAACAAAGAACTGTTCAGCCTGACATATCAGTAATGCTGTGGTTGAGAAACCTTGATATGTGTTTGCGTACACCCAGTGATCCAGTGCTGGTATTATCTGCTACAGCTTCATGAAACCTGGTCATTCAATTACCTTGGATGTCTAATGCAACCAATTGGATGAAACGATGAGGACACTTGTGATTAAGCAGCCAAGATTGGTCAGTAGAGATAGGCCAATCCTCGTGCAAGACCACATGTTGCAAAAAACCTTCCACCAATTGACTGCCACTTCTTTTAGGTTTTGGAATACTTTTTGCAAGGAAAAATATTTAATTCTCAACAAGCTGTGGAAAATGCCTTTCATGATTTCATCACTACTCTGCTCTCTAGGCTTCTTTGCTGCAGGCATAAACAAGCTACCATTAAGATGGCAAAACTGTTGATAGTTTAGGTGCATACTTTGATTAATTGTACTGCTTCTTGTTTGAGATACAGTAAACTACACTTTTGATTCAAAATTGGACATTTCACATTTAATGACCTAATATTTACTATAGTCTAATAAGCAATCTTCTAAGCTTTTTAGATTCAGTAACATTTAATTTTCAATATAGCCTCTGAAGGTGGGTAGTTTTTATAATGCTTATTTTTTACAGAAGAGGAAGTGGAAGCATAGAGAGGTTCAGTAACTTCTGCCCAAAGTTACAGAGCTACTGCTTGTCAGTGGTGCCCATGTTCTAACACGCTAACTTGAATCCAGAGTCCATACTTTCAACCAGTGTAGCATATTGCCATGACATTGTGAAAATGCTGCTGATGCTTTAGTTTGACAAAGAGGCATTTGGATTTGGTGATTATGTGGTCAGTTACCTTAATAAACTATACCTATGGTTTTTATATTCATTTAGCAATCTTTGCTGAGCACCTACTATATGTTAGGCACTAGGTTAAGTGTTGGGTACAGAAATGATAAAGATTAGGTCTCTATACGTGAGGTCACCTTTTCAAATACCATGTTTCACCAAAAATAAGACAGGGTCTTATATTTATTTTTCCTCAAGAAGACACCTTAGGGCTTATTTTCAGGGGATATGTTATTTTTTTTAAGTACAGTACAACAATCTACATTTATTCAAATATAGTTAAGTCATCTTCTGGAACATCATCATAACTCTCCAAACCACAAATTCCATCCTGAATTTCTTGCGACTCTATTTCCTTTAGAACCATTGGCCCTAATCTCTCATGTCGAGCAATAGAGCTCTCATGGGGCAGATGAGAAGGGCTGCTCATCTTCTTTACCGCTCTGCGACGAAACACATGGGTTGTACAGATACACTGCGTAGCCATGCCCATCACTAGGTCTTATTTTCGGGGTAGGGCTTATATTGTGCAAATGCTTAGAAATCCTGCTAGGGCTTATTTTACGGGTAGGTCTTATTTTGAGGGAAACACGGTATATAAGCCTCTCCCTGAGATTCTGGCTTGTACTCCCAAACAGGTGCATAAGAATTTCGAGGTGGAAGGGAGGCAGTAACTAGTAGATGTGTTAATAAGTGTGTCATTTGCAAAAGCTTTCTCAGGTGGGCCTTACTGCCTCACCTAGGTTGAAAGCACCTATCCTAAAGAGATGTGTGCCAGGTTTAGGGCTGGGGAATAGGGGAGTGAGAAAAGTAACTCAGGTTTGTTCAAGCCGTATGGTGAGTGTTTTGTAAGTCAGTAGGAAATAAAGCGATTACCAAGTAGATTGCCAGGTGAGATTAGACAGCCTGATGCAGCTACACCTTGTAAATTTCTTTGGTTGTGACCAGCCTAGGAGAAGAAAGATGAAGGAAGAGGCAACAGGTGGTTACCTATGTTAATATTTCAGTATCTATCCTCAAGGGACCAGAATTTTATCTGTTTGTCCTTCTTAGTTTCCCCTAGAGAGATGTGGAGAAGTAGATGTAGTAGTTGCTGGAAAATAGGTTTGGGATGCCAAATCCAAGTACCACATAATTTGTAAACTATTTAATAGTTACAAATCCATTATTGTTGCATAGAGCTAGAAATGCTGTGTTACCTTTGGGCCTTGTGAAAGGATTTTAATTTTTTCCTTGATATTTAAGAGAATGAGTATTGCTTTATCTGTCTTCAACTTATTGTTAAATGAATATATAAGCGGAAAGGTGGTGAGAATCTGGGTACAATTTGTTTTGAAAAGACTGCAGATAGAGTAATAACTGTTGACAAAAGTAAAGCATAGAAATGGGACTGATTTTTATCCAAAATAATTTCTTAATACACCTGACTAAAGGTCAGTTAAAGCAGATATCAAAAAGCTTTAAGTGGTATTCTTCTGTCTGAGCATGCACATATCTCTCCCTCTCCCAAACTGTGTGTTTGCAGAAGAGTCCATGAAACTTTAGCTATTAAAAACGTTTTCAAAAAATAATGTAAACAAATTCAAATAGTGACTAAAGGACTTGTCACAGCATTTAAATGCTGTAATATTGGGAATAGTTAATACCACTATACTTATCAAGTACCAGGCACTGTTCTAAGTACTTTATATGCAGTCATCCCTCAGTATATTTAGGGGATTGGTTATAGGACCTCTCTCCTCAGTATCCAAATCTGCACATACTCAAGTCCCAAAGTCAGTGCTTGCTTGTATCAAAAGTTGGCCCTCTGTATACACAAGTAATATTGTATTTTTGATCTGTATTTGGTTGAAAAAAATCCACATGTAAGTGGACCTCTGTCCAGTAAACCCATGTTGTTCAAGGGTCAACCGTATTGACCTACTTCATCTTCATAATTACCCTGTAAGGTCGATATTTTTGTCTTACCCATTTCACAGGTATGAAAATGCAGGCACAGGGTGATCAGTATCTTGCTAAAGATCACCAAGCAGTCTGGGTACAAAGGCCTGGCTCTCCACCACCTCACCATAGCTGCCGGTCCCTATTGTGATTTATAGTCTAAAGGACATTGCATGCAAATGTAGCCTATCCAGAGGAAAGGGTGTTGGACAAACTCTTAAAAATAATTTTTAAAATTTCATTTTGCTTTTGCTACTACGTATTTACTATTCTCCTAATTTCCAGGTTTTTCCTAAAGGAGATGAAATATGATTCGTAGTTATGTTTCTTGTCCCAACTTTTGAAGAGAGAAAGGATAATGTCAGCCTGTAGTTAAAATACTGGAATCAGTTGTTGTTTGGTTGTTGTTCGGTTGTTGTTCTTAAGGGATGGACCAGTGATTGCTCACCTTAAGGCTGAGTCTTACCTGATAGACCTAAAGATGAGAAAATGCCCCCCTATCTCTTATCTATAAGTCAGCTTTTCTGTTGTCATGCTTTTAAGGACCTGAGCATCCCTACTTACGACCTGTTTGAGAGCCTTATGATGTATGTATCTACCGGGTTTCAACTCCACCCCACCCCCCATTCCTCATCCCACTGGCAATGTTGGATGGAAATGGAGGTGTGGGAGGGGCCTTGGCTGGTCTATCTCTTGCTAGGCAGGAGAGGAAGAGAGTGGATGCCTGCTACTAGGGAAGATTAATGGCAAAAAATAAGCTTGTTTTCAAATATTCTGACATTCTGATCTAGCAGTTAGAGAGGACCTACCTCATAGAGAATGCTCTTCTAAGCTCTGTGGAGGCACATATTAGGAATTAAGCAGCAACCAGCACTTATATAAAACTATAGTTTACAACAGGGGTCGGCAAACTGTAGCCCACAGGCCAAATCCAGGCCATCATTTGTTTTTGTACTACCCACAAGCTAACAGTGAGTTTTATACTTTTCAATGATTGAAAAAAAAAATCAAATAGTATTTTGTGACATAGGAAAATTATATGAAATTCTTATTTTAGTGTTCAAAAGTAAAGTTTTATTGGGGCACAGCCCCACTTATTCATTTATATATTGTCTAT